GGTGATAACGACAAACGAATCTCTTCATCATGTACTTTCATTCGAAATGAAGTTCCCCCTAACAATAAAATCAGTTAAACTAAAATATTGCTTACTGTAAAATTTGATAGAATAATTCAAGCGAGTGCGTTTCTGTTCACATTTAATCAAAGTAAATAAGATTAAAATCACAAGTGAAGAAAATCTCTCTTTATTTGAATATTATCACTAAAAATCTTTACGACTGGGGAAAATAAAAAGATAATTAATTATATGAAAAATATTTACAAATTCGCCTTATCAATGACATTCACTCCCTCCACCATCCTCAGCATTTGACAGTGAAACTCATCTTCTGCTCAATACTTACCGCGGTGCTTCCTACAAAGCAACTTTATCTTTATCTTTATCTCTACATTTATTTGCATAATTTGGCTGCCAGGTGATCTGGTTCTACAAAGGGACGTCATTTTGCCTATTTATTTTTCATCACTTTCGACCTTCACTAACGACGATCCATGTAAACGCTTATTCTACAGATGTCTATACGTACACATTTATCGATATATATTATTGTTACTTTTTCATTTCTTTGTAACTAACACTGATCTTAGGCACTGATCTTGGTAATAACGCCGATGTCACAAAAAGATAGCCCTAGTGATCCATGACTTAACATATTGTCCTCTTCAAGAGGACCTATGCAGATCGTGAGTGAAGCCAAATCTGTACCAAAAATGATACAAAATCGATTTGGCTTCATTTATTCTCGAACGATGGCGAAAAAAGGAACAACATAAAAAGCGGCTTCAGCTGATGTGCTGATGCTGTTTCATTAAAAGGCCTAAATCATATGCTTTTCTGTTCCTCCCTTTACCTAGTTCAGCTTTATTTTCACTCTATTCGGTTTTCACAGCCCCCACACTCGGCTATACAGAAGTTGACTGTTCCCCCGAGAATAACATATGCGCCGTGAAGTCAAGTTGCATGTTGCGTCCCTTCAATGAGACCGGAAGTGACGGACAAAGGGTTGTCTGCACTTGCGCCCAAAATTACATGACACCGCCGTGGAAGCCCAATATTATCCCAGGCACCGAATGTGTTGGTGAGTCCAAAAAGGTTGGTCTAGCCAAATCCCTCATTAGCCCAGGAGACAATTTACATAAAGTCAAGGTATTATAACGACAAGCCCACAAAATTATGGTATAGTCTGCACCATAGATGTGAGCTGAGAGTGACCAGACCTATCATCTAGTTACCTTGGCGATTGTGCATATCCTCGAGGCCATACATCATTGGCCGGTCGGAAAGGGCCAAATTGCTGTCCACCTTGGCATTCGAGTGGCGTAAGCAGCCTGACAACCAAATACGATTTAATGGTTGCATGGTTACTCGTCGTGGTGGGTAGTTACAAAGTTGGGCTTTTCAAGACAACCAGTAGATCTGATATTAGAGCTGTATTCACCCTATTTAGTTTTTGAAGTTATGAAGGACTGGTAGTTAAATTTTACTAAAAATATATGAGTAGGCATTAAGTTTCCATTGAATTTAACACAGCGTTGCACTCGAACCGTAATAGTGTAGCATATAATCCTGACTCCTTAACCATTAGAAAAAATTATTTTAATGAAGAATAGTTTTAACTTTTCGAATGTTAGTTCCTTCGTCATGAATGTATTTGGCTCACAGGCGTTTTTCCATATTACATTCTGTGGTGCGATTGTCGGTAAACGAAAGGTTTATTTGCTAAAGCTGTCGACTACATTACTTATTTTTCGTTGACAAGTAGGTCATTAAACCATATATATGAGCTGCATTTGCCCAATTTGGCTATAGTGATGAAATATGTCTTCCTCAAAATTCACATCTGCTCCAAGGTCACTTGTGGACAAAGTAAAGAAGCTACAAATCAAAAACGATTTTCCGTAGAAATAATTTATTCAAGTGGCTAATTTGTATGGATTATATGTTGCACTAGTACAGTTCTGCACCTCGCAGGGGATGCAGTCGGAACTCTAGTCCTATTCTGTTGGATGAGAATACCTTTTTACAAGCAGAGCTGTATGAAATTCAATATAAACGTATAGTCTACTCATATGATTGTGAAAAAATTTAACTCGAAAAGACTACTTAGTAAACAAGAAATAAGTAGTGTAGTTACTGTAGAATACATAGCTCTGACTTATTGAAAATCTCACCACAGAATATGATATGGGGAGGATCAAGCATTCCTTGAAATTCACATCTGTCCTGTGAGTCAAGAACACTTGTAGCAGTTTGGCATAGTCGTAAATTTGTCGGCACCATAAAATGCACTAACAGGACTTGGGTTTGAATCCCGCTTTGGATGCTAATGAGACTCATGGAAGGTAAAAATTGCGGTTCGCTTCAATCTCGATAAAAATAAATTTTGGAAAGCAAGGCGGTATGAAATCCAAATGGAATATTATGTCTGCTCATAGGAATATGGGAAATCTCGATTAAATGATATTTAATCTGTCCTTTTTAGACGATTTCAGTTGGCATGGCCAAACAAATTCTTAATAGTCATTCAGCTTGTTTTTATTCAAAAGATAATGATATCCGTAAGTTGAGAGTTGAGTGAATCAAGCCACTTCGCTTGGTTCGACCTCTCAGGCTGGTAAACAAATCTGTCGTTAAAGGCAACCTCATAATGTTAGATTTTAGAACCCCTAAATTCGCGATCCAAGTACCGCTAAGTGAATTGGTGAGCCAATAAAATTAGGCGGAAAGTTGATCCATTTTGAAGTGGGAGCGGCCTCCAGCGTTAATTGAATCGCAGTCAGTTTCTGTGAGACACAATGCATAACTTGTGAGTCTTCTGCCTGAAAAAACAAATTCTCCCACACCGCTGGACATAATCACACTAATGGAAAGTCTATTTTAAAATATAATATCTCATGCTAATTATACGATATGACTAGTGAATACACTTAAGGCATGTGGTCCATTTAAAATGTCATGTGAACTTACATTAGCAAACCAATATTACCTCATAGATGGGAATTTTTGGGTTGACACACAACTAAACAGGTGCACCCTATACTACTCATTATTCGGACATGATAAACATGTTTAATTTTTTTTTCCAGTCTCCTATTTTGTGATGGCGTACTTCTTCGTCGCTTTAGCCTTTGCAATGTTGATTGCGATGGCCTGCTTTATGCTTGCCCAGCTAATACGAAAGGTGAGTCGAATCTGGCGAAATCCCAAATTACACTGTAAAAGTAGTAGACCGTAAGTAGTATGTCTGTCTGAAACTACGACGTCGAGGTTAGGTCATCTCCAGTTAAGCCGAGAGACCGGTTATATTAAGGGAGCTAAAGTTCTTCAACTGCACAATCTTGCTTATATGATAGCTTGGGCAAATTTATCGAAATAAGATAATTTCATACGCCTAGTAATGGACTCGCATGATGAGTATGTTTTTTTACTCAGAAAGAAGATGTGCAAATCTGAATAAGGTGAGGTCAGACGAGGCGTAATTGTATCTTTTATCGACTAAAAACAGACAAATGATCGAATTGACCCACAGACTCACACAACCGCATCTCAAAAGCTTGAGTAGTACAACTTTTTGGAAAATTCCTACCTCAGAAAATTTTCCTCGACTCTTTAGTGCAAACGTTGCTATGCTGATTTGACAATAATCGTCTTAAGGCGAGGACTAAGAAGAAATATGTGCTGAAATCGGTCATTTTATCTGCGTCTGTATGTTAACTTCCTTACGTTTTCACCTCTGCATAGGGTCTCCTCGAAAGTGGATGAGCGGAGTTGATCTGGGCAATCCCAGCCTCAGAGTGCACATTGTGACCGAGTTTTTAGTAGAAGAATCAGGGTCGTGCACAAGAAATGAGGGGATCTGCGAATCAGTCACTAGTTCTGGGTAAACCAGATGAGCATCGTTTACACAAACCTCATTGTTGACATTTTTTACATGTATTTATTCGCTAGTGGAAAATCAGATATATAAGTAGTATCATGAGTAGTACTTTAATGTTGGTGTAGAGCATTTGCTCTTCAGATGCATCCGATTAGGCAATGATTACATCATAAAAACACAAAATAAGTGTCGCTTAAGCTAAATGGATGATAATGCACATTTTAATACATGAAAAGGGATTATTCTTTACTCCCACCTTCTAGAAGTGCTTGATATGTGTCAACTTTTGACTTTTTTTCATCATAGAACAAAGTGAAACACTTGTCGCCTGAAGGCCAAATGTCAAGCAGTTCTGACTGGATGAGTCGTCATGGCAGCACAAGTTATGCTCACAACTGAGGTCTGCTTTATGCTGCTTTCCTTCGATGCTGACTGGTACCAACTCGAGCCAGTCCCGCACCTCCTTCTTGCTTCGGCCTACTGAAGCCGTCTGTACCACCCGTGACCGGCTTCTTTTCCAATCCACTCGTAAACACACTTTTTCTGCCCCATTGTTCTGCTTTGTCCTGTTGCCAAATCCACCCAACGTCACGATTTGCGACCACCTAATAACACGCTATTTTAGCGACCCTTGCGTCTTCTACTCTCTTCGAGTCTCGGCGACTTGGGTTCGAGTCCTAACTCCTGAGACTTGAGCCATCGCCTCCTCAAGGCTGCATTCCAAAATTGGGCCAGAAGGGTTAGAGTGAGGGTAGGAAGAAAGGTCGGTGAGAAGGTTAAGGTTGTGCAATAACGACAGGGATGGTTGTGATAGCCTTCAGTTGGCATTTGAAAATGTGCCAGACACTTCTTACTTGTGGGAAATACAAAAGAGGCCATAAATAACCCTCCTCCGTATGATTGCAGCCCCATAAGAATGAATTCCAGAGAGCATCTAGACACGTATTGGCCCATGTGGC